ATATCGGCCTGCGCAGGCATCTCCGGATTTATGGCACTGGTGGTTGATCCCCCTCTATAACGATTAATTGGCCCCTGCCTCCTAAAATTGTTGATTTTCTTTCGTTGGCGCCTTTTATCTCTGAGGCTGGACCCTAGAAAGAGTCCGGAAACTCAGACAACTAAAATTATGATTCCGATGATATAAAGGCCTTCTCCCTCTCTATCGTAAGTTTGATTAAGCTCATGCCAAAAAACACACATGTAAGATCAAGGAAAGGAACTCACGGAAAATAAATAAGTAAACATCCACAGCCATAGCAAAGGGATATTCATATGCTAAGTCAAGAGTCCTTACAAATGTCCATTGACCCGGGGGATTAGCGTGATCTGGAGGCGAAAATACTTCAACTGTCCGCGTGACATCTCCGCGATTGATTAAACCTCATACAGCCAAAATTTTGCCCTTTGCACAGGCCAGAGCATGGTATTTGCGCTTCTGATTCATCGGTGCCGCCCGATGCCAGGTGAAAAATCTGTGTGATTCTGCGGTTTCTGCAGAGTTGCCGATCGGAAGGGTGCAGTAGTCAACCAGGTCCATTTCATGACCAAACTCATTTTCGCCACCAGTCACAAAAATGCGGCCATCCTCCTCGTGAGCCACCGAACAGTGAGCAGCTCGAGCTTCGAGCGAGTCTGGAAGACGGAGTATGTGAACAAAGTCCTCGAACAACATGGTACGCGGCAACAAAGAGAAAGTACTGAAGGGCAAATATGCTTCTTGGAGTGAGCATAATCGCTGTACAAGAGGGGCTATTTTCGTAAAAACAGTTCTATCTGACTCACAGAAATCTCCTCAAACACCCTCTTTGTGATACACCAATAAAGTTTCTTAAGTTCTTTAATAGTGACCTGAAATCAGCAGACACGGGCCTGATGATGTGGCCGATGATGGGCTAGAGCGTAAATCCGAAAGGTCAGGCGAGCAAGATTCTTGTCCTTCTGATCGTGGCTCAGAAGGAGATTGTCGCCAAAGACACGGAACGACAAGCCTGTTGCCAAAGGTCTCAATGTTTGGACTTCTAACCAACGTGTCGCGGGTTCGCACCTCGGAGACTTGCGACAACTGGTTTTGAGTTGGGATAGGGGATGACGGCTAGGAAACCAGAAATGACCATTCCATTCACCCTTATCGTTGTCAGTTACGTTTTTCCATAGCTGTAGCAGATATCTTATCCCTAGTTAGA